GAATGCATCAACAAGATCTTGCTCACGCATCTGCGAGCTCATCATGGAAAAGGGATGTCTTGATACGATGCTCCTCGCGCCTGAAACACAAGTCGATGTCGATAGAATGTGTTGAAGACAGTTGCGCCGGACAACGCGGTCGAGTTCAATGAGGCTTCGGCCGTCGTGCGCGAGTACATGCGGCTGCTGGTGCAGGACGGCGCCAGCAACTATCTCAACTGCCGACGAGGTAACCTACCCCAAAGACTTCCCTTTCCTATTCTCAAACACCCATACAGCGCTTGAAAACACGTTCCATGTTGACGAAGTAAGGGGGGGGCTTGCAACCCGTGGACAAGATCTGCCCATGAGTGCACGACGCCCGACTCTGCACCAAAATTCTTTCCCGTCTCGATTTCGGCAACTATAACAACTGCCGACGAGGTACCCTGCCCCAAAGACTTCCCTTCCTATTCTCATGCATAAGTATAGCGCTTGACAACATGATCTATTTTGACGAAGTTAGGGGGTCTTGCAACCCGTGGACAAGATCTGCGTTGGCATGGTTGATCGCAACACGGAGACAATCCTGAATTGGTGGCACGGGACGCAAGAGAAGCAAGGTACTTGCTGCGAAAATCGGTATGGGGCTGAGAATCGTTGACACAGTCAAAGCAGGCTGTGGTAAACTCGACATTCGGATTTCTTCGAAGTCAAGAATTATTCATGCCAATCCATGTGGAGGTTCTTCATGAAAGTGATCAGATGACCATGTGCCACGTAGTGACCATCTTCGCGGAACCGTATCCATAAACTGTAGCAGTTCCGATGAATGGAAGGGTGTCATGGCGACCTTGACCCAGCGTGTACTTCTTTGCATTGGATGGTTAGTTCATGATGGAGAACTTTCGGCCCAACCAGCTGCGCCAGGTTTTTACAGTCGTTGTCTTGTGCCTTGGCGTACAGACCTGATGAAAATAATAGACGCACCTGCAAATTCGACGGTTTGGAAAAACCATGTCCATTTTTGGTTTCTGACAATGGATTTCTACTGCACAAGGCATTCAAAATCAACACAAGAATGAGAACCCAAAAATATCGCCTTCACTTTGACAAAGTCGATAAAGACCAACTGAGGGGTGATGCAAATTATAGACGCACAACACCGAGTGCAGCTATTTGTCGATTGCGTTACCATTTTTCAACACTACTTGAGCCATTCGTGTTGGCACTCCATCCACGAGCTTACGCAGGTAGGACTGTTGGATTTTATTCCAACAAACACGAATCTGGGCACGCAATTCCTCGACAGTGTCAAACTGACGGCCATATTCGTACACCAGCCACGACAATTGGCCCCAAACATTTTCAATTGGGTTCAAATCCGGACTCTTGGCAGGCCACGACATCACATCCAAACTTGTGTCCGTTGTCTTGATGAAAAATGGGGTCGTGAATGCCTCGGTCGCGACAAAGGTTGTCCAGTAGGGGCAGCAAATGCATGTCCAGACTACGGCAGTCGCGTGAACTGTTTTGTTTCCCCTCGAGGAAGGCCAACTCGCTGCGTCCAAGCGCGGTCGTCGCGGCCCAAATCATAACACTTCCTCCGCCACACGCACTCTTCGTGAAAATTTCTTGTTCCTTTCTAAGGTCATGCCAGTAATATTGGTAGCCATCTGGGCCGTCCAAGTTGAATTTTTTCTCATCGCTGAACACGACACGTGTCCAAAGATGAGATTTGCTTATCCATTCGGTTGCGAACTTTTCTCGGGCTCTTTTGTGGTGGGGCTTGAGGGCTGGTCGAGGTTTACGCTTGATGTAATTCGCCAATTTAGTGGAGCGAAGCCATTGACGCACAGTAGATGCTTTGAGACCTTGTAATTATGTGCATTAGCTATGCGCTTGGATGACTTTTGTTTGCTTGTGGCCATTCTGAAGATTTGGCGGAGATTTCGCTTGGTCATTTTTGGCTTGCGACTGGGTCGTTTTAGAGGCTTCGTGTCGCCCAATTTGCTAAGGCAAGTCCGAATGGCCTTTTTGCTGCAGCCAATGTAACGTGCAATGTGGCGATTGCTTTTTCCTTCGTGATTAAGGGCTTCTACGGCCCCAACTTGCTCCGATGTCAACTTTTTACCCCTTGGCATGCCAAAATTGCAATGACATGCACGCTATATGTTCCAAGGCATGCTGTGAGCGGCTGGAAGCTTCTAGAATGCCAAAATCAGCTGTAAAGTGCTCCTAATGTTGACTTTTGTGGACAATGCCTGGTGCGTCAAAAATTTGCATCACCCCGTCATATCGTGTTTGTCAACTTTGTGCAAGTACATTCAATATTTTTTGGTTCTTCTCTTGAGGTATCCTCTGGATAACATCGTACTTGAATCGAATCCTCGATGTACCTTTTGCGCGGGACGTTGGTGTGTCTGGTGTAAGCCATGGCTCGACGTCGATTTGAAATACGCGATTTAGCGGGACTAGTAAACCAACCAGTAATTTTCGAGGAACCAGTCAATATAATTCTTACGCCTGCAAAATGAAGATAAATTGCCTTTGGGTTCCTGGTACTTCCTCTGTCTCACATTACTGTTTACAAAATTCAGTTTTTCCACATTACTGTGAACATTAGAATTCAATTGGCTCATGAGCAAAGCATATGTATTCACTGACTAAAACTCAATTTTGGCCGGGGAATGAACACACTACAACAACAGACTAACGTGCCGCAAGCATAACTTCTTGAAGTGGAGTAGTTGCTGTCTCCATCCTGCTCGAGAAAAAGTCCCATGACAGCCTGAAGGTGAGAAAAAACGTTCTCGAGCTTCTCGTAGCTCAGCATCTCGAATGCCATAAGAGTAGATCGAATAACGTCGTTGACAGAACGACATGTACTGGAGAGATTCGATCGAAGCGACGAAACTAAGGTCGAGAACGTTCAGGTCAGGACTGTTAGGCGGCTGACGGCGGATGGCAGAGGTCCAGCCATCGGTCGAGATGCTCTAAAGTGAAGAGTGGCGGGAGGCATTGTCATATTGCAAGACAACCCGTTTAGATGTGCTCGGAAAGGACGACTTGATGGTAGGTACCATCTTGTTGACGATAAAGTCACGGTACAGTCCGTCCAAAAACTATGGACGCACTCGATTTGAAAACTTGCCAACCGAATCGACCACAGGCATCAGAACAGGATGCGTCAAATGAGATTCAAACTACGTATCTACATGAGAAAAATCAAAGTTCGATACAGGATCAAAATTATTTAGAATATTCGTGTATACCCTGTCCAATATTATAGACGCAGTGCACATGGAGTACATTATCGACGATTATCCATCGATTCCTTTGCCACCACCAATGATTACTTCGGCCATTCGAGTTGGCATGTCCACGACCAGTGATTGGAGGTAGCTGACTTGGACTTGATCCCATGAAGACTGGATTAGCTGCATCAACTGCGCCTTGGTCGCAAATTGGCTCCCGTTGCGGTACACAGAGCGTGCCAAGAGCCCCCACACGTTCTCAATGATGTTGAGATCGGGGCTCTTGGCAGACCAATCAATTGTTTCGAAGTTCAGCCGGGCCAGGTACGCCTTGGTCTTCCGCGAGGAGTGAATACTTGCATTATCATGCAGAAACACAGGGTCTTGAACGCCATGACTTGTTCGGAGCTCTTGCATGAATGGCAAAAGATACTGCCGTAGTGTTTGGCAGTACTTCACCGAGTCTTGCTTGCCTTGGAGAAACCCCGACTTTGATTTGCCGTCGAATGAAACTCCGGCCCAAATCATCACAGAACCCCCGCCCATGACACGCTTCGAGTACGACTCGGGCTCCTTGCGGAGGTCGTGCCAGTAATATTGGCACCCGTCTGGACCATCCAGGTTGAATTTCTTTTCGTCTGTAAACACTACGCGGCACCAAAAGTTGGGCACATGGATGTACTTCTTCGCAAATCGCATGCGTGCAAGCTTGTGGTGCTTTTTGAGATACGGTGTTGGTTTTCTCTTCATATACTTGGCAAATTTGGACGCCTTGAGAACGTTTAGAACATTCGCACTTCGTAGTTCATTGTTGACGCAATCTCTCTACACAACATGCCTTTGACACACGCGAGTCGAAAGACTCGACGAACGATTGACTTCTTAATTTTAGACTTCCTACCGACTTTCTTGCGGGCTATTTGGCCATGAGCTCTTCCGTGCTGAAGGTATGGCCTTCTCGCTGCGTCCAATCGTCTTGACGATGCTTCGATTGCTTATGCCGTCTGCGTGGAGCACTAGAATGGCTCCGATCTCGCGTTCGGAGAGTTTTTGCCTGACGGCATCGAAATTGGAAGTGGTTAGCTCTCTGAGTGGTGCAGTATGTCGAGTACTGCGTTAGCAACAATTTGAACTATTTAGGATGTCATTTGCCCTTATTAGGAAGGATCAAGTCCTTGCTGAGCGAGCTGCGTCCATAGATTTTGGACAGAAAAGTAATGAAAATTTGAGTTTTCGTAAGGTTTACGTTCAATTTAGCTGATTGTGTTGAAGATACGTTGCCTACATACTTCCTTCACTATGCTGACCAAGAGTATTTGATTGATTCGGTTTGCATTGACAGTGAGCGAAGGCATCCAACCTTCCTGGCTCAGCTCGCTGCCTTCCCCACATCAAATTTTTACGAAATTTGGTCTGTAGGTTTAAGAGGTCATTTCAAGTTTAATTATATAAATAGATAGCCTCTGAACA